AAATTATACACGAAACTGACATTTAAAGAAGCCAAGGTCATAAAATCAAGAACTCAAGAGTTAGGAAACCGTATTACTAGAGCTGCTTGCACCCTATTTTTTAATCTACTTTATATGTAAACAGTTCAGTTACCAGCTCACAGTACAATTTTTGATAGGGCCCAATGCCTCAACCACCCCAATGACGATTATGTTTGTTGTAAGAACAAACCAGGGCACTATAATGTAGAAAAATTTATTTCTACAGGAAATAAACTTTGTCAAAGTTGAATGAATAAGGCAGCAAACGGCAAGAAAAGCAAAGCAGTCCTGGCTGAAGCAGCTGAACGCTGCACTGGAGAAGAGGATCCAGCTCTGCTGCTGCCTTGGACTGCGCGGGAGCTACCGAGTAAATCATCAAACCCAAACTTTTCACCAGCAGTTACTGATTTCTCACATCTCTGCTCCATCCCAACACTGGAGGTTGGCAATGTAAGACGCCGAGGCACTCAGAGCTTGGAGTTTCCACTGCAACTTGGAGTTTTGGTGGTCGTTGGACCTTAAATGTGGATAACGTGCTGTCATTTTGAGTCATCTCACAGTCCCAGACCAACCCAAAACTGGTGGCTGTGCTGGACCTGGACCTCCCTGAGCCTCACTTCTTCACCTGTGAACAGGGACAATGCTATTCTCTCCCTTTGCAGGGGAACTGTAAAAATATGCAGACCCACAACCTTGTAGGCATATATAGGCAAGCGGAGGTCAGGGGAGGACTTGGGTATTACAGCAGTAAGCGCCACAGGAAAGCCCAGCAGTAATTATTAATTCCATCTTCAAGCATGGTTTGAATACAGCTCAACAAACGAAGCACGGAAGAATGAGGGTAAGATAAAATATTGACTAGCTGCTCCATCATTGTCTGGTCTGTGCCCTAGATAGCACAAGGGTATTTTGGAAAAAGCAGAATGGAAACACCTAATAAAAGGCTGGAGCTTTAAGGATTTGAATTTTCAAACTTAATCTTTTAAGACCATTTTAATGCAGTTGTACGCAACTCTATTTAGAGAGATAGTCACATATAGACATGCACATATAGAGAGGTTATATAGGCGCATTATTCTACAAATATACAGACATTTATTTGTGTGTACCTAGACTTTCCTAAAACATAAACAAGCATCTGACACCTAATGCAGTCCTTGATGAGAATTGCTCTCTCTTCTCTGTGGAGTACCACCAGTAATTATTTACCATTAGTTCTTAATGGGAAGAGATTCAGCTGGGATGTAGTAAACAAGAAAACTGTATAGATTGTTCAATATAGCCTGGCTGGCTCTCAACTGAGGTAAGAAGTGATTGGATCACACCTCCTGGATATTTCAATCACAGTTTTTATCACCGGGGAAAAGCACCTTATTAACTTGTACTTGGTCAGGTCCCTTCCACGTCCGTATATATGCAACGCTGTCAAGATCATACAAGTGCCCCTTCCAGTTCACGTTGCCATGCTTTGAACCCTAAACTGCTGCAGGGTTAAACGACTAACAAGACGGAGACCTGAAGGGTTCGTTTAGACTAACGACATCTCGAACTGCCACCTTCCTACCTGCCATAGATTTTTTTTTTTTGCAACAGGGTAAGGGCTCCCTCTTCCCATGACAGAAACATCCGACTGTGGCAAAAAGATGGTCCTAAAAGGCAACGCTGCTGATTCGCAAGCAAAATCGTCATATGGGGGGGGGAAAGGGGAGATATCCCCCAAATGGATTATTTAACATCCGACTGTGGCAAAAAGAAGATGGTCCTAGGCAACGCTGCTGATTCGCAAGCAAAATCGTCATATGGGGGGGGGAGGGGAAGGGGAGATATCCTCCACATGGATTATTTCATTACTTTAAAAAAATAAAACAACCCAAGGAAAAAGGTCAAGTTAAAACTGTGGTGTTTTTAAAGACATGTGCCCTACCACTGATACATTTTCTGGCACGTCTCACATCATCACCCCATTCCTGTGACTCCTCCACCATCAATAGGAGTTGTGTGCATCAACCCAGGGAGCCTGAACACCGGGCAGACCGTATGTGAAAAGCACCATTTTTTCCGTTACGGCAGAAAACTGAAGTATGCAACTAGCACATACTGTAAAGGCATTCAAAATATGACAAAAAAAATTGTTCAAATGCTTTCAATCTGCAGAAAACAAATGCTCTCTTCACTGACTGCTCTGTGGCAAACTTCTAATTCCATCCAGAAAATCCAGCATTCCCAGTCTGGGCTAACGACCATGCTACCAGACATGAGTTTATGTTTTTCATGCACATTTCATGTATTCCCACATGCTGTGTTGCTGCCAATAATTTATGACTGATCTGCACCCAGCCTGCCCTTCAGCATTTTATTTAATCTCTGCAACAGTGATTTACAATGACTCATCATTAATACAAAAATGTACATGTGTGTTAACAAGTTTGGAAGAATCTAAGGAGGAAGGCAAAATTTTTTGCAAGTTGTGGCTGAATGACTTACAAGCCCACTGAAGAAAGGCAAAGCTAACCAGAAACGATACGTTAGCTCTTCCCTGCAGCAAACAATTTAGGCAAGAAGAGTTTCTTCTCCTGCATACTGCCTTAGAAGAAAAGGGATTGAGGAACTGGTTGGGAGAGGGTTGCCCATATCCCCAGGATTTGGGAGGGGATGAGCAGCTCGCTGGTCACCCCATGTGGCTGGATGTTTCCTGAGGATGCACGTGTGCGTGTGCAACCTGCACACTCAGCCACGGCCTCACAGCCTCCTTGGTCCTTAGCATCCATTACAGAAAGCAGGGGCTGAATTACCACATTTTGGCATCTCTGCCCACCACATATGGATAACTGTTACTTAAAAAAGCCTCGACTGGCTCTACAGTGTTAAATCTTCGTGGGGCCGGGAAGGGGAATTGTCTCAATAATTTATACAATTGTAACACCACAGCAGAATTACCAAACTAGCTCAAGCAGAGGAAGCCTGCCCTACATCCACAAGACTTCAGTTATAATGTATTTTGACCTACTTTTATTTTTTTTTTCCTTGCACATAAGGAACTTATAAAAACACATCTGACACAAAGCCAAAGTAAAAACTCTTCAAATCCGAGGCGAGATGGGTACTGAAAAACACCCTGGAAAGCCACTCGGGAGAAATTCCACCAGCTTTAGTTCAAAGCATCCCATGTTCATCATCTCGAAAAATTTCTTTGATGGCCCATCCTAAACTGACATAGTTGCCCACGCTGAATCCTACGCTCCCGGACCCCTCCGAAGCAGCACACGCTCGCTCCACCCACCGTTAAATAAGACCCCTGACAAACATACACAGCTTCTCAACTGGCCAAAGCGCCTATCCTTAAACTGAAGGACAACCATATAAATTAGGGTATCGCCTGAATAAAGGTTGGAGGACGTAAAGCTGAAGCAAACACTAATTTTTTCTGGCTGAGCCAAAATACCGTGGGTTACGTTTCCTTATAACACATATTTTATGTTTAGTGCCTTTTATTCCTCTGTTTTAAAGTAAGTATCTTGGAAGCATACTTCACATACACTAAGTATTTGGTATTTTCCTTTATTCAGTGTCTTAAAGGGCTTCAAAAAATTGATCTCCCAGGGCTGCTGTGGGGTCACAGAAATTGATAACCCTTACAAGCTATGCTTATGTGAGCCCGCCTGCGTCTCCCAGATAGTGCACTTTGTAAATTAATCCTCCAAAGGCAAATATATTGTAAGTAGCTTGTTATCTCTAAAGTACTAAATTGAAGAATACATGGGATTATATTGACAGAAATTACATTTTCTGTAATGGGCTTTAATATATCTGAAATCTCTCCCATAGGCTCCTACTCTCTCTAAGAGAGGAGGGTTTGTTAATGTAGGTGCAATGGACATCAAGACCAAATTTATTCACTAAAATGGATTAGGCCATGTAATCAGAGCTTCAGTAATATTAATCTCTGACACTTATTGAATGGAAAAAAAAATACTTTTGTCTGCAAACTGGCATTCCTCCCTCCCTTTTCCCCAGCAGGCTCACCATTTGCCTTGGCCATTTTCTGGGTATTACTTCAAAGAGGATAAGGTTTCCCATCATAAACACTAATCTAAAAATATTAGGACAATTAATTAGATACACTTAGTTTTACAAGGTATTAGATTGCAGTACACTTCAAATATGACACTTGTTCCGGGATAGGGGGAGAAACCTGCATTTCGATGCAGTAACAAAGGATAATAAATCAAACTTTTTTTTTAAGGGTTCGCTGTTGTGTTTTTATACTTAAATCACGAGTAATTTTTACTGGTTGCCTTCACCACGTCCCGGACAGTTAGCAACCCAAAATCCACTGCAAAAACAGCACGGATCCCGATTTCCTTCAAACAAATCGCTACTGCAACAGATCAGGGGCTCCGGCAACCCTTAACTGGAATAAATAAATAAAATTGCTCCACACCGTACTTCAGCAGCAAAGAGCCAGATTGCCCCCAAAGTTTATTCAAGCTTTCAGAAACTGGACTTTTACAACAAATCGGTAAAGAGATAGAAGGATGTCAGTCAAAAAGAAAAGCCCCACTAACAACATTAAAAAAAACATGTCAGCATCCCAAAATAACAATACGCTCTGCAGAAACGGGGCCAATTACCCCTTTTTTTCACCCAACATCTCAACCTCTTCCAAGGCCAAAGTTCTCAAAATGGATGTGGCTTCCTATTGAAGAAGACACATCCTCAGCCAGAAGGAGGACTGGTACCCGAATGCGAATACACTTAAATCTGCCCAAGCAATGGGAAAATAAATACGGCTTGTTTTCTGCGGTAGCAAACCTCGGAGTTCCCGTAAGCGAAACCACTCACCCGGCTATATTCCTTTTGCATCAATAAACTGCTGGGGGAGGGGGGAGCAGACAAGGGCAAGGTGTGTCCTCAAAAATGCAAAGCGTTAGCTGGGGGGTGCCAGCGGCCGTATAGAAACACTAAGGAAAATTACTTACCAATTGTTCACTTGAAGTATAGTGAGCCCTGTGTCTTGTGCCAACTGCTTTTTCTGTTCTTCTGAAGGGTAAGGGTGCTATAAGATACCAAAATAAATATATACATTTAAAACAATGCTTTTTTTGCCTGCTTTTTATTTTAAATTTAAAAAAAAAACCCAGAAGCGTGACATCTATTATTGAAAGGTGAAAATGCTGAGGTGTGTCACTCTTTTATAATTATTAATGGGCTACTACATCACTTAATTAATGGCAGTAAAAGACAAGCCAATTATAAAGATTAGTGAAGTGGAGAAATAACTGCTTAGGATACTGGCAGTACCTTGATACTCAAGAAGGATATTTGTTGCATTAGCTGAAAGTTTTTGCACTTGTCTCAAATGACCGATTAGAGTCAAATCACCTTTTTTTTTTTTTCATTTCACAAAACAATAAAGAATGTGATAAAGCACTTCTCTGTAAAGCTAAAACACGCTGATGTTCTCTGAGATAGTGAAGACAAATCTTGCCAGTGCCCCAAAATAATTTGCAAATAAGATCAGCATCCTGAACATAAACAAACGCCTGGGTTTTGAACACAGGCCAACGCAAGGTCAACGATCAGCACATTTTTGTCTGACATTAACATAGCTGTGCTGCACTAATCCTAAGAGACAGAAAATAAATACTGGTTTAATTGAAGATAATGTTAAAATTCAATCATAAGTTAAGTTTCTTGTGAGAACTTGATTGCTTTCTCAGAAAATTTGCTTCTGCATGAATACAGATTGCTTAATAAATCAACAGCAAAGGCCACATCCAAGTTTGAAATTTAGAAATATCATTTTTGTCCTTTCCCTCCGTGTAAAAATGTCACTGTCCCAAAAGGAAATGGCCAAATATTGCAAACGTAACAATTCCCAGGAAAAAAACTGTTTTGAGGGTGCAGCTCGGCTCCTAACCTGGACACCCAAGTCTCAGTACACAACCCAATCTCAGTACATGGGATTCAGACCTGGTCTGCTGCAAAGTACTTAATAACATTTCAATAAAGATAATTTGATATAACTGGGTAGACCTATCACAACATCCCATTTAGCAGTTGGTTGTCACAAAGTATTTGCTGTGATACACACATCCCTTTTTTCCCCCGAAACGTTCCCATATTCTTTGGATGTGTTCTTTGGTGTAATATTACACGAGATGTAAACTGAAACCTTGTAAAGTGTAAGAATTTAAAACCTCGTAAAATTCCGCAGTCTTATTGGTATCGTAACTATTTAGCAGGTTTTATATATTCTTGTAAACAGCATAATCTGACATCTAATAGCTATGTTACATGCCTGCATCACCTCACTTTACCAAATAGGAATTTTTGTTGTAACTCCGGCAACTTCCCTTTGCCCAATGTGCCCATTTCAAAGCCCGCTGCCGTGGCCATCAGCTCCAAAAGATACAGTTTTTTTCACCCAAAAATGGTACGGAATTTCCCATTCTTTTAAAAATACTGTTTCCTTGACAGTAAGCCCACAGATAACCTGCACACCTGTAAACTACCCCCTGTATTTTCTGCAGGAATGTGAAACAGCTCCAGAATTGCAAACTGGAAGACACAGGGAAGGGGATTTTACTTCTTTTTTTACGGGTGATTTGCATTTTACACATGCAAAAATATAGCATGAATTTTATCGTCTGCCTTATATACACATTCATCCACAACAGCCATACTTGACTTACAACCATCTATCTGAACATAACGTTTTGCTTCTCTTAAAAAAAAAACCCTACAGAGATGATTTGTAACATTTTCATCTTCATAGCTTACTTCCCATTTGATTACTTTGCTATCAAGTGAGGACAAAATTATTCTTTTTTTTCTTATTTCGCTTTGCCACCTTACATGTGATCTAATTTTAAGTAATTGAACAAACTGTGTCTAATTTCATGCAGCAAGCAATAATTACTAGATAGCCTCTAGCTATTGGAATTGAGAACTCTGTCTCCATTAAGCAATTTTCAATTGTTCTGGACTTTTTTCCAAATAGACAAGACTGGATAAAATTAGCCATCAGAATAATACAGTCACTGTAAAAATAATCGCTTTACAAGTCCCAAACCCCAAATTCCTCAAATTGCAGTATGTTTAAGGTCATCTGATTTTTTTTTTTCATATCTTAGCACAGCATAAACTTTTAATTTCATGATAAATCTGTAATTGCCATAATCACATGACAGCCTGGGACTTCATGTCGCTAATCCCTCTTAGCTAAAGGTTCACAATGCGGCAGACTTTTTAACTATGATTTGGCGTGGTTTAAAATATCTTAAATCCTGGGCATCCTTATTATATAAGCTTTCTGTGGATTGTACGAGTTGTTCCTTTGTAGGCTAAAAAAAAAAAAAAAAAAAAATGTCTTGACAAAGAATCAGCGTGCCACAGGCTAGGTTGCTATAAAAACATGCAAAGCCTTGTTGCATTCCCACCCACAGGGCTAGGAAGGCCTGTGCTACAGGCAAAGGCAGACATCGCATCGCAACAGAGAGAAAGGGGGAAACCCTGAGAACTGCCATTTTATGAAGAAATAGGAAATTCAGTCAAAACTGTTGCTGTTGGTCTTTATTTCACCCGTGCGAGAACGACAGGTGCCTTCCAAAAGCTTTCTAATGGTTGTTTAAAGGGATAAAGACACATGCACAGAGATATGTGTATATATATTTGCACATATATGTATATTATAGTTGCGTGTATATGTATAAAATATATATAAAAATATATATGTAAATATACAAAAATACAAATGTATCTTAGACATATGGTTTCGTTTTAGGTAGTCCTGTGAGGAGCAGGGAGTTGGACTTGATGATCCCTATGGGTCCCTTCCAACTTGATATATTCTATGATTCTATGAAATATATAAATATATAAATATATATATATAGAAGCGTGTGTCTAAAAACACTGCACTGACTCCAAGTTGGCAAGCCCACCTATCACTCCGGATCACTTTGGGATATCAAAGCAAATTGTACCACTGTTCAATAAACAGTGACTTGAGACCTTTACTTTGTTGTGTACATTAGCTCCTACCATTATCTCTTAAAAGCTTAATTATTTGCAAACAATTGATCAAGATGGGAATTGGAGAAAAGAGATGCCGGACCACCGGGAGAGCTGCAATGCATTAGGAGAGCAAACAGAATTACCTTTAGGTCTTATAATCAGAATTAACGATTGGGACCGTACGCGGGGCAGCGTGAGAAGCTGGAGTGTTTTCCATTTGATCTGCATTAACACCTCGAGTGAAAGCCATAAAACGGTGATTACAGATGGGAAGGCTGACCCTCCTTCCCAGAACCAGCCCAGCTTGTGTATACTGGAAGACTGCAGACAGGTTTTCTTGCCAAGGCCAGAGGAAAAGGGCAAATCCAAGGGGAAAAAAAAGTAGGAAGCAGGCAGGTTGAAAAAAAAAAAAAGGCATTTGAAAGAATAAGGCTGACAACAGATAAGGACTCTGAATCTGGCTCCGGTATTTTCTGATCCTGCCTGCTGCTCCTACAGCGCTGCAGAGCAGCATCCACTGAACGGTATGAGACCTAGTGCTTTTCCCTTCCCATAAATCTAGCGCTGAAATGCGGATTGTTTGGCACCATTAATGTGTTTTTGAGGCTCTGTGGTATTACTTTTAATAATGACTTAGTACAGAAAATGATTGCTTAATAACACCATCAAAGTCTGCATGCAAATGAAAATTATCCCTAGGGGATTTGCCCAGGGTAATACGAACAGTTAAGGAACATTTGAAAAGGTAAAAATAACTATGCAAAATATGAGTCAGAGCAGTCATTTTAGCAGTAACAAAGAAATCAAAGTGACAGAGAGAAAAATGTAACTTTCCATCATATTCTCTCATCACTGTTTTATGAACGGTATTTAGAGAGCAGCAGTCTTAATAGAAGCCCCTTTTTAATGCAGCCGAGATCATTTTTAGCAAAACAAACAATAAGCCTTTTTTTTTTTTTTTACCACAAAATTTTTACCACCTTTGACTACAGCCGAAGGGTAAAGTCTCCAGTAGATACAGATGGAAAGCGTCCAAGTTTGTCTCTTAATGATACCCCTTGTCCAAATGTACTCCTTTCCTCAAATTTTCCAGCCCAGGCTGCAAATGCTGGATGCCAGGACAGCGATAGACTTTATCTTATCTGTAACCCGGTATCAATAACACTCCCTCCCTCTCTGTCTTGCCCGCTGAGGCAGCACATTGTAATGGTCACAGAAAAATATGAAAATAATCCTGCCCAGAGCTTACTGCTGAGATAAGGGGAGGCAAAACCGCCCCTTCTCACCCCCCAAATTCCTAATTCCTCGTGGCACCGAACCGCCTCAACACCAACACTGCCAACCAGCCCTACCGCAGCACAGAGGCAGAAGCAATCCCCAGGCAAAAGGTTGAACGTTACGTTATAAGGATGTCGTGGCAACTGTCCAGTGTCGCTCTTATCGCGGCAGCACCGTCGCTTGGCTGACCGCGCCGGGAGAACCATTTCGGAAGTCCTTTTATCCCCTTCCTCCAGCCCTCTGCCTCCTCCAGAGCTCAGCGTAATGCACCAAGGCGAGATGACCTTGAGCTAAACTCTGGTAGGTGATGGAGAGAAACCACCCCCCAAAACGTATGCCCTCAGGACTGTCTATTAACTGTTTTCTAACCTCAAAATAAAAAGAAAAAAACCCCCACCATTATGATTTTCTTGTTTCTGAAGAGCAACCCAGCCTACACCTCACTCAGTAACCAGAATAAAGCCCAAGGTTCAGCCCTCCAGTGACAAACTGCACATCGGTTTTATGCTGAACTCTGAATCCTTGCTTTACCCAAACTTGTCCAGGGTTAGCTAAGGCAGCGGCGCAGCAGTTTGGGTCTCTCCCCCTTCCCTACCTCCTCCTGGTTTGCGTTTGAACTGTTTACATTAGTGATCAAGTTGATCTACGATAAATTATTATTTTTTTTAATATCCATAATGCTTTCCTATTGTCTCTCAGCTTTATGAATTAGTTTTACTGTTGCAGTGAATGCTTTTTTTGTCTCCTGACTGCACATTA